TCGACAAAACACACATTTCCCAAACAACATAATGTTCATCATCTACAAATGATGTAATATATGCGTGAAAACCGACAGTATTCACAAAACACACATTTCATAAACAATGCTTATCACCTATAAATGATGTAATAAATGCGTTTAAACCGACATTATCGACAAAACACATCTCACAAACAATGTTTATCACTTACAAATGATGTAATAAATGCATAAAACAGACAGTATCGACAAAACATATTTCACAAACAATGTTCATCATCTACAAATGATGTAATAAATGCGTGATTACCGAAAGTATCGACAAAACATACGTTTCAAAAACAATGTTCATCACCTACAAATGATGTAATAAATGCGTGAAACTGACAGTATCGACAATACACACATTTCATAAACATCATAATGTTCATCACCTTAAAATGATTTAATAAATACGTGAAAACCGGCAATTCCGACAAAACACATTTCACAAACAATGCTTATCAACTATAAATGATGTAATAAATGCGTGAATCCGACAGTATCGTCAAAACACACATTTCCCAAACAACATAATGTTCATCATCTACAAATGATATAATAAATTCTTTAAAACCTACATTATCCACAAAACACAGTTCACATACAATGTTTATAAACTACTAATTATGTAATAAATGCGTGAAAATCGACAGTATCACAAAACAGATATTTCACAAACAATTTTTATCATCTACAAATTATGTAATAAATGCGTGAAACTGACAGTATCGACAATACACACATTTCATAAACATCATAATGTTCATCACCTTAAAATGATGTAATAAATGCGTTAAAAGACAGTATCGACAAAACACATTTCACAAACAATGCTTATCAACTATAAATGATGTAATAAATGCTTGAAACCGACAGTATCGACAAAACACACATTTCACAAACAATGTTCATCACCTACAAATGATGTAATATATGCTTGAAAACCGACAGTACCGATAAAACACATTTCACAAACAAAGCTTATCACCTATAAATGATGTAATAAATGCGTTAAAACGACAGTATCGACAAAACACACATTTCATAAACAATGCTTATCACCTATAAATGATGTAATAAATTAGTGAAAACCGACAGTATCGATAATAAACAGATTTATAAACAACTTAATGTTCATCACTTTAAAAATTATGTACTAAATGCCTGAAACCGACAGTATCGACAATACACACATTTCACAAACAATGTTTATCACCTACAAATGATGTAATAAATGCATGAAAACTGAAAGTATCGACAATACACACATTTCATAAACATCATAATGTTCATCACCTTAAAATGATGTAATAAATGCGTGAAAACCGGCAATTCCGACAAAACACATTTCACAAACAATGCTTATCGACAATAAACAGATTTATAATGAACTTAATGTTCATCACCTGCAAATGATGTACTATATGCGTGATAACCGACATTATCGACTAAACACACATTTCACAAACAATGTTCATCACCTACAAATGATGTAATAAATGCTTGAAAACAGACAGTATCGACAAAACACATTTCACAAACAATGCTTATCACCTACAAATGATGTAATAAATGCTTGAAAACAGACAGTATCGACAAAACACATTTCACAAACAATGCTTATCACCTACAAATGATGTAA